AGATAAATACTTAATTTAATTCCTCAGAATTAAATGCAGCCAAACAACCAAACGAGTAAACACGGTCTGGTGAACAAAACTGAAAATGATGTAATACACGCGTTGCCTCGGCAGCGCGCGAGCCAATTGGTCACACAATATCAATCTCCTCGAAGAAAAATAGCCACAGCAGTAAGCTCTCGCTCAGGGAGGAAGAAAACACAGCGCGGGCTTCCGAGCCTCTAGAGAGAGCACTGGATCTAGGGAGTGCGCGAGCTCCGCTCCACAGTAAAGCTGCTCATTATAATATTAGGCATAATATGCTTGTGTAACTGATGCTTGCGCAACTGGCGAGCTCATCGACGTCCTCATCATCCTCCTCGGAGGAAGACAGGCGGAGCGTCGAGCCCTCTCACCGGGGGGAAAGAACCGCAGCGCGGGCTTCCGAACCCCGAGAGCCGGCGCTGGATCTGGTGGTTAAGGAAGAAGATAGGAACTTGCCCGTCTACATTCCCTCCACCGGATCCATAAGTGAACCCCACGAGCATAGCCGCCTCGAGAGCCGGCGCTGGATCTGGTGGTTAAGGAAGAAGATAGGAACTCGCCCGTCTACATTCCCTCCACCGGATCCATATGCGAAACCCACGAGCACAGCCGCCGCTCCGCCTCGGCGAAAGCGGGGCCGGCGCCGCGAGAAACGCCGGTGAAGACTCCCTCCTCAAAGAGAGCCCTCAGAGAGCAAGCATACACAATGACAAACGCTCGCAATGCGGACAGACAGCTGACTCTGCGTGTTTTGTTCCCAAGCAGACAACACACAAACTGTGTGTATCCCCACCCGAAATGTAGCACGGGCAGGGAAGAACACACAGCCTGAGATGCGGCCGACTCTCGCCGTATGTTTGTCTACACTCGTATTGGTAAAATAAAGAGTGATAATGGACAGACAACACCAAATAAGACTGACACACACAGAGCACTTGCTGAATGACAGAAAGCTGACGCCGGTTTCACCGCACGTGCTTTTATGCTTCCTGGTCGCTACGTCACCCCGCCCGTGACGTCTCGCCCATCCATTGGACTGATTACACATGTGATTCAGAGCATGGTCATGCTGGAGGCGTTCCCATAGCGTTTCGACGCAGCTCGAGTTCCTGAAGGGGAACTGATAATTTTGTATTGGTTCTTAATTTTTTTCCACACCTTTATCAAACACATTCGTTTGCATTTTGCATGCCTCTACCAGGGTCCACCAGTGACTATAGGGAAGCTTAATCTTTAATGTCATGAACTTGAAAATATTTTTTTTTGAGTGAATAAACTTGCTAAATAGAGACGGACTGTGTGTACTGGAACAAATAAAAACTAGACCGGAGCATACAGTAAACGGAATGGATCAGCAAACAAACAATAATCAAAACTGTCGCAATTCTGTTTCATATCATTCTGTCCCAATTTGGACCCTGTTTTTACAAGCATAAACACTTCCATAAACAGATGAACCATATTTGTCCTCCATCTGTGAGCTACATAACATGTTGTTGTTTATAGTAACACAATGTTCTTGGACATTTTTAAACACTAATTTCAGAGAAGATTTACAGAGCAAATATATAGAGAAAACATATTAGATTGGTCACTCTTCTCCCTTTAATATTCTACTAAATTACAGTGCTGTATTTTGTCCATAAAGTGTACTTCATTTGCAAGTAAGCCAAATGGGCAACAAACATTACACATTTATCCTCACAATGAGGTCAGACTTACAGCTAAAACTACAAAGTAGTTGTGAGCAAATAAAAAAGCTTAAGGAAGCAATAAGTTGTATTGTGAATACGGTCATGGCTAAACATACTTGTTAGGCACGACTTTACATTAGAACAATACACTGTGTCATTTATTTTTTTACACAGTGTATGATATTTCCTCATGCACATACACCTGCTTAGCTCTTAGCATTAGAAATAATTTACTTCCTGTCGTTTAGTTGAAGCCAGACCAGCTTCTGGCCAATCAGCATCAAGGATTGTGACGAGTGGGGGCGGGGCCGAGAGCCGTGGGAACGGAGCGAGGCCGGTGGAGTGATTGCTAATGAGGGACACCTGCACCCACTCACCGGTCTCGAGTCTCACGGAGGAGCTCCGGAAGGATAAAGGAGGAGTGATTACAGTGTTGGAGGAGAGAGGACCAGGCCTGGATTTTATGTTGTGTTTTGGTTTCGTTTGTGCGCGACAGTCGTCCGCGAGGGGCTTGTTTTAATGAGACGGGTGCGAGGGGGGGCGGGGCCGAGAGCCGTGGGAACGTAGCGAGGCCGGTGGAGTGATTGCTAATGAGAGACACCTGCACCCACTCACCGGTCTCGAGTCTCACGGAGGAGCTCCGGAAGGCTAAAGGAGGAGTGATTACAGTGTTGGAGGAGAGAGGACCAGGCCTGGATTTTATTTTGTGTTTTGGTTTCGTTTGTGCGCGACAGTCGTCCGCGAGGGGCTGTCGCGCTATTTTGTGTTTATTTTATTATTAAAGTTTATTTGAATGTTCGCCGGTTCCCGCCTCCTTCTTCCCGTGACTAAGAACTTTGTTACAAGGATCAAATCTATTCTTATGTTTGTCATATGATTTAAATCATACATATTCAACAAAAAGTAAAATCAATTTAGACCTTTGTTGTGATAGTCAGCGTGCAGTAAGACATGAGAAAAAGGTCAGTGATGTGGCAGAAAGGCTGATTTTCTGCCTGAGGCTTGATATTTTAGTTCTGTTGTGGTCCTAATTTACCCTCTGCTGCTGGCTTTGATTTTCCTCTCAGTGACTCTGTCCTGGAGAAATGGCAATTAGCTGTGCACAGCTAGCAGGCTGTTCAGTAGTCTGTTTAGAAAACAAAATAATGAGATTACGCTAGGTAATTAAACCCCCAGTTGTGCTGTGCGCTGCGCTTATCTTTAGCATATGTGGACTGGGCTATTGGTTGGTAATGCAAGGTCATGAGGTTTGCATGTGTTTGCGTTACTTCAAACACCCAGCAAATTTACAAAAAGGTAATATAAAAGATGTAAGTGCAGTTTAGCTTAAATGAATAGTACACCAAAAATATTTACTTACACATGTTTTTCCAAACTTATGTAACTTACTTTTTTTTTTTCTCTGTGGACCACAAATGAAGAAAGTTGAAACAATGTATTATTTCTGTGCAGTTACAGTGAATGTGCATAGAAACTTTCAAGCTTCAAAACCACACCATAAAATTATTATAAATCTAGTCCACAATAGCTTTGTGTGAGGAATTAAAATGAAATGAAAGCCAATATTAATCATTCGAGTCAGATCTTTTCGATTAATTAGTTGATCCAATTAACAGTGGTTCTGAATGATTTATTCACAAATCTGACATCAAATTTCAGTGGCTTAAGGGAATAGTTCACCAACAAAAAAAAAAAGTCATTTATTCAGTTTTTTTTTTCATTCCAAACCTGTATTACTTTCTTCTGTGGAACCTAAAAGAACAAATCTCTCTCTCTCTCTCTTTCTCTTTCATTTTTGGGTGAACTGTCACTTTAAATATTTCTTCATTCTTCACAGAAAGCCGTCCTGCGGCTTCAGAAGATTTGAATTGGAATGCACAAGCCATATGGACCACTTTGTGTGTAGTTTTTTGTGCTTTTATGTTTTTTTGAGTATAAATTCTTTATAATTGCATGGAAAAGAGTAACGTATAAAACAACACAAGGGAGAATAAATAATGAAAGAATTGTATTTGTGGAATGTGGATGAAGTATTCCTTTAAAAGATTGTGTAGTTTTTATTTTCTTCCCTTAAGCAATCACTTAAAAAATTTAAAATGTTTCATATTCCACGTAATAGACGTAACATACTGATGTATGTGTGAACAAGCAGCTTAGAGCTACCCATGGGGTATCTAGAGAGATGTACTAAATGCATCTCAAGAACTGTCTAAACTTATTTTGTCTGGGCTATGTTAAGGATGTTCCCTTGCTGTCAAATTCGAGAAGATACATATACAATGCACTCAACAAAACAAAACAAAAAAGACTCAAAAACCATGTACTTTCCATTCATTTTTACGTCCATTAATTTTTATTTTATTTATAAATTTTTTTTGCTTTTCAGCATAGCATTTAAATTACAACGAACGTTCTTTTTTCTTTTTCTTTTTTGTCATGGTTAAAAGGGCCATATGATGCGATTTCAAGTTTTCCTGTCTTTGGTGTATTACAAGCTGTTCGTGCATATATAAGATCCGTAAAGCTGCATAGACTAAAGTCTCAAACCCAAAGAGATATATTTTATAAAAGTTAAGACTCATCCACGCCTTCCTAAAACGCCTCATTAAAACACGCCCCCACAAATCTACATCACTGTGTAGGAAGATTTGCATAACACCACCCAAATGTTTACGCAAAGAAAGGTGTCACTTTTATTCTCGCTGTATTGTTGCCGCCGCCATCATGTCGTGGAGACGTGATTCCAAATATGGTAAGGGGCGTAACATTTCCGTCACATGCTTGAGGTATTTGGCCAATCACAATGCACTGGATAGCTGGCCAATCAGAGCACACGTCACTTTTCAGAACAATGGGGTTTGTAAAAATCGACGTGTTTCAGAAAGGCAGGGCAGAGAAGAGCAACAATACGTGTACGTAAAACAGCACGTGGAAAATAACGTGTTTTTTTAACCTTAAACCACGTAAACACATTGCATTACACCAAATACACAAAATAATGTTATTTTCTAGCATCGTCAAATGACCCCAAAAACAAAACATGAATGGACACAAAAGTACAGGAATCCAGATGTCCCACGGAGAACCGAGGCCACTGCACTGGCAACAAGTCCAAAAAAACAAGTTTCTTCTCTTGGTGCTCAACACATAATAATGTTCTTTTTAGCAGCATCATATGACCCCTTTAATCAATTATGAGCCCTGCTAGTGCCCCTCATAAAGATTTACTACCTCATGTTCCTTTAATTCAGTCTGGCTGCACACTCTAACATCAGCATCCAATGAAAGCAAGAGCTCTTAGTTTTATGGCTTCTCAATAACTTTAAACTCTTTTCCCAAAACTCAAAACAAAGCAACAGAGAAGTACCCACTGAGTTAGGGACCATTAGAGGTTGAGATATGCGGAGATATTTTTGTTTTCCATGCTTTCATGCAAACAGTTTGCCACCCTGTGAGAACCTCTACATTAACATAAGGTTCTTCAATTAAATGTAATGGTTGGTGTTCTGAGTGGTATCTTAAAATTTTGAAGGCCTAATTTAGGTGTCCTTTGGTAGAACTTGTGGTCAGCACTAGATTATCTTGTCAGCCCTTCACTCTTACACTCCCAGGACATTGTAGAAGCAAAACTGTAAAATGTCCTTGTTAGGTCTCAGACTCCATCACAGCTAGTGAGTTGCCTGTTCTATCTATCTCAGAACAAAAAAAAAAAAATGAAAAAGTGACGTGACATGTGGCCAAGTATGGTGACCCATACTTGGAATTAGTGCTCTGCGTTTAACCCATCCAAAGTGCACACACAGCAGTGAACACACACCCGGAGCAGTGGGCAGCCATTTTTGCTGCGCCACCCGGGGAGCAGTTGGGGGTTCGGTGCCTTGCTCAAGGGCACCTCAGTCGTGGTATTGAAGGTGGGAGAGAGCGCTGTACATTCACTCCCCCCACCTACAATCCCTGCCGGTACGAGACTCGAACCCGCAACCTTTGGGTTACGAGTCTGATTCTCTAACCATTAGGCCACGACTTCCCCAAAAAGAAAGATATCTTCACTTCCTTGTAGTCGTGCAAGCCCTGACAAATCAAGTTCATCTTGATAGTAGTGTTTTAGAGAACATCATACTATGCTGGGAAAATCCAGGCCATGCCGTCTTATAAGATGGTCAAGATGGATTTTTTGAACATGGAAGCTGGTTTAAAGTTGGTCCAAAGTGTTCTACCAGGTCAAAACCAGGTCCATCAGCTGACTGACCAACTTAGACCATTTAGAAGCAATGCAAAACCAGCTACCCCAGGTTAAATAAAAGTTCACTGTATTTAAAAACATGTATTTAGTTACCACTTGTAGTACACTTGAACTCAAGTGTACTAAATAATTATTTTAAATACAGAGATAGTATGTTAAAAGTGCATTTTAGTTCATATTAATGGTGTCCCAAAATAGCACAGTTGAGTACATTTAGTTGATCTTAAGTTTATTTTAAGAAGTACTAAAGAATCATATTAGTATATTAAGTACAAAATTAGTGTGCGAAAACGGAGCACTTTAAGTACATTATGGAAGTGTACTTTTTTAACCTGGGATGACTTTAAAGGAACTTTTCTTTTTCAAGATTCAAAAATGTTTCTCAAGATCAAAGAACATTTCAATAGTGTCATTATTCACTCAACTCAGTGTCGTTGTAAATTCTTGAGACATTTTTTCTTCTGTAAAAGAGGATTTTTTTAAAGAATTTCCATTCTTTTGAATATAATTAAAGTGAATGAGGACTGACAAAATTCTCATGACTCCTGAACTATTCCAAGTCTTCTAAAGCCATTTCGTGCAGACATTTAAGCTGATAACTAAAATCCTTTGAAAATAATTCTTTTTAATTTCTCTTCAATGAATCGTTCACAAGTTCCCAAAACTTGACTGTGATTCATTCATGAATCAAATGCAATATTTGATTTGTTTCTTGACTCAGTGAGTACGTTTACATGGACAACAATAATCCGATTTTAACACGATTAAGACAATACTCTGATTAAGAATCTATCATGTAAACAGAGATTTTTGATTACCTTAAACCAGCTAAAGTCATATTCGAAGTAAACAGAAATCAAATGAAGACGTGGAGTATTCCTATTTTAGTCGCATTACGGAAGTGCAGTATAGACATGTAAACAAAAGAGCTTCAACACCACCATCGTCTGTATGCACGTACAAATAATCAACTGCACTTGACGCTTTCATACAATTAAAAATGAAACACCCAAAACTGTACATGGCATCATCACGAAGACGAACTATATGTTTATACGTGAAATTACGGAGGGGACATCGAATGGTGTCACGTGGGGACATAATGACGTGTGCCATTAATCGATCTATGTACTATGACATGTAAAACGGGAACATGAAAGGAATATTCTAAAAGCAACTCATGAAAACAACAATCATAATATTGGCTTATTTAGAATAAGGTAAATAATTAGATTACTGATGTCCATGTAAACGTAGTCAATGATCCAGTATGAACAATCCACTAGAGTGTAACATTATCTGTGAAGATTGACTAAAATTTCTTCATTCAAAGCTTCAGAGTAGCTGGAATATAGTGCATAAATTGTATGAACTGCTTTTATGGCACTTTTTCTCATTCACAATCAACCATAAACAACAAAGTCACAAGGGTTTGGAACAACATGAGGGTGAGTAAACAGAATTTCCATTTTGGGTTGAACTATCCCTTTTAAGCTGGTTTTGTAATTTTATTTTATTTTATTTTATCTTTTATTTAATTTTTTTCCCATAAGGGTAAAAATCTACTTTTTTAGCATCTTTGCTGTGTAATAAAGGATGGCATTTCCATTTATGTGAAGGCATTAATCCTTAGTCACTGCTTCTTATTCAGTGCAATGTGTTTGACAGCTTTCTCTTCAAGCCTGACCTCCTGCTCAGAAAGGAATGCCTCTGCCTTTCAAAGCAGCTTGATGAGCTTTCCCGTGTCACTCAGTTATGTCCTTACCTTTGATCCTTAATCACATCATCCACTTTCAGCAGCAGCCTGCACTGCACTGTTAAAATATATTCTCACCCATTAACTTTATTTTGCTTGATGAGATACAATCAGTAAAAAAAATAAAAAAAAATAAAAATCCCAGCCTTTTACAATGGCAGGAGTTCATGAGCAGTTCCTCATTCTCTTCCTGGATCAGCACGGTCTTTGTGTAACCTTAACTGGTAAGCCGGTCTTGGCCGTTGCCTTTTTTATATGCACCTCAAACCGCCCCTCAGATCCTGCTAAATCCACTGACTTTACCCACCAAAGCACAAGGGGCCTCCAGTCCAGCCCCATGAAGCTAATAGAGTCTTCATAAGTTTAAAGAGATACTTCACTCCGTGACCTTCTAACCTTTAAAGACAGCCGTGTAGTGTATTTAGTGTTTTATAGATTTCCCACCCCCTCCAGAAAATCCACATTTATTAGGCATATGAATATTGAATGACCAGAGATAAATATGGTGAATAATTTAGCACGGCCGCATGGCATGCACGCCTGATTTAGATGAACTCAGTCACTCGCTGATGAGGTTCACGACGCCCATGTGAGGTTGCTGGTAGCTGCTGAAATATTCATCCCTTCCATGAAGTGCAATTAACTAAAGTTTCTAGATACTTATATGTTTGTGTATTAGTAATGAGATCATAAAGCCTCGTTGTTAGTTATTATTCACTGTACCAGCATACTATTTTTCAAAACATTAACATTCATCTGATCGCTCTTGGTTAATTCAGTTTTTTTTTTTTTATTACACTGCCTTTCAATATGCATGTAATTCATGAACAAAGTGTGTTAAATCTAGGCCAGGTTCCTGGAGACCCTTTATCTAATAACCTTAAATAAATCACAGAGCAAGATTATTTTAGGCCGCGCCACTGTAGTACGATCGGATGCATGCATTTATTGTTGGGAGAATGTTCGCTTTGATAATGTGAAATTCTTACAAAATAAATGTTTAACACTATGAATAATTTAGGCCTTTCTTATGAAGAGCTACGTTTTTAAACACCCAGGACACAGTTATATATTTGTAATTTTAAAATGAGGAAGGGATAAGGAGCTAAAAGATAGCATGCCCGTGTGGCTTGCATAAGTTCTGACAGCTGAGAGTACTAAAACAAGAAGCCTTCTTTGAAAATCCCTGGACTGAGAATTATTTGATCACGCATAATAACTTCAGCCATAAATGGTATTAAAGCTTAAAATGCATATCCTTTGGATAGAGAACAAAGCGCGTCGAAACACAGGCGTGATAAATTATTCAGATCAAACTTGTCTAACTTTTCTCCCACCCCATGTTTGAAAGTGCATTGTGCAGAGACGCTTCAAACTCTCATTCTCCTCCCTTCTCTTTCTCTCATATATAAACTGTCCACCCAATTGCACACAATGTAGCACACCAATTGCACACAATGTGCATTGTAAACCCTAAAGAGAGCATTGTGGTTAAATGTGGTAACATGCCAAGGATGTTAGTGCTGGGCAACGATTAATCGTGATTCATCGCATCCAAAATAAAAGTTTT